ACCACAGAGGACTCACGTCTCTCCAACCTGTGGTGGCAACAGGAGGGTGCCACGATTTTTTATACCCGAAAAACCACCTTGGAAGTGGGGTGAGGGGCGGGGATGGGGATGAAAGGGCTTCAGACATTCCGAGGGCTAGTGGATTCTGTAAATTACCTCCTGGGCAGAGATGAGGGTGGGGGTCCCCGGACATTCCAAGGGATGGGGACTTTTGTCATTCCATTTGTTACTTAAGTGGTTTACAGAAGTCAAGATAAACATTTGTTTACACATTATCTGGTTAAGGTGGAAATCACAGACCTTAGTTACTTATTATAAGTCACAGGAGCCAGGATGGAACTAGCTTGGGCTGCTTAGTCTGGCAATTGCCGGTAAGCAAAGGCTAGCAATTCTGGCAGTTACCGATAAGAAAAGGTAAGCAGCTTTACATAGTTTTGAAGAACAAACTAGCAGTTCTATTTACAGAGGCCAATGACAGTAGTTATTGTGAGGAGAATGGGGCAGCCATTTCAACTTATCTAAAAACAGTTTTGCATTTTATAAAATAGTTTTGCTCCGGTTCTGGCTCTAGGCCAGCACAATATCACACTCGCGCCACCATGCCCAGCTAATTTTTATATTTTTAGTAGAGACGAGGTTTCACTATGTTGACCAGGATGGTCTCGATCTCTTGACCTCGTGATCCAACCGCCTCGGCCTCCCAAAGTGCTGGTATTATAGGCATGAGCCACGGCGCCCGGCCAAGTTCCATATTTTTCTTATAAATGTCCTTTATCAGGTTGAGGAAATTGTCCTCAATTCCTGCTTATTCAGTGTTTTTTCATCATGAAAAGGCGTTGGATTTTGTCAAATGCTATTTTGTTCTACTGAAGTGATCATCTATTTCAACCCCCTTTTATATCTATTAATGTCTTTTATTATATTGATTGATTTTTGTATATTGAGCCATCATGTGTTCTTGGGATAAATCCCACTTGGTTGTATTGTGTAAGTTTTTTGTATGTTGGTGGATTTCATTTTGCTAGTATTTTCTTGAGAAGCTTATAAGAAATTTTGACCTGTGGTTTACTTTTGATATCTTTGATTTTGGTGTCAGTGTAATTTTATCTTTATAGAAGGAGTTGCAAATGTCAATTTCTATTCTATTTTCTGGAAGAATTTGTGAAGGATTGGTCTTAGTTTTTTATTAGACATTTGGTATAGTACCACAGTGAAGCCATTCTGTTTTTACTTTAGGGGGGTGTTTTGATTACTAATTCATTCTCTTAATTGTTAAAGGTTTATCTTAAGTTTCTACTTCTTCTTGAGTCAGTTTTTATAGCATGTGCCTTTCTAGAAATTTTTCTTTTTAAATTTATTATTATTTATTATTATTATTTTTTTGAGATGGAGTCTTGCCCTTTGACCCAGACTGGAGTGCAGTGGCTCAATCTCAGCTTACTGCAACCTCTGCCTCCCAGATTTAAGCGATTCTCCTGCCTCAGACTTCTGAGTAGCTGGAATTAAGGCGTGTCCCACCATGCCTGGCTAGTTTTTGTATTTAGTAATGACAGGATTTTGCCTTGTTGGCCAGGCTGGTCTCAAACTGTTGACATCAGGTGATCTGCCCGCCTTGGCCTCCCAAAGTGCTGGAATTACAGTCATAAGCCACCACACCCAGCCTAGAAATATTACTACTAACTAGTTTATCTAATTTTTACCATATCATTGTTCTTTGTACCCCTTCATAATATTATTTACTTCTGGAGAATATAATTTATACTTTCATTTATACATTCCTTATTTGTTTAGTATCCATTTAATTTCAATGGCATACAAAATACTCATTCTACATAGCTGTGTTCCTCTATCCTTGTACTGTTATTGTCATATAAATTATATCTTTTACCTCGTGTATTCACTAACCCTTATAATTTTTGTGTTAGGTAAGCTTATTTTAGGTGACCTAAGGGGAAAAGCTATTATAAATAAATAAAAACACTAATATTGTTGCTTATATTTATCTGGTTAATTAGCCTTACTTCTGCTCTTAATTTGTTCATATAGATTTCATTGACTCTCTAGTGCCTTTTGCTTCAGACTGAATTACTCCCTTTGTATTTGTTACATTGCAGATCTGCTATGTGTGAAGGATAGTTTTGTAGGGCAACAAATTCTTAGTTGTAAGATTTTTTTCTGAATACTTTGCACATGTCATTGCAGAGCCTGCTGGCATTCAGAGAATTCACTGTTGATCTCATTAGGGATCCCTTGGGCCTGCAGTCTGACGTTTGTATTTCAGCTTTGAAGATTCTCTGTTTGACTTTGGCTTCGGTTATCTCATTTTGGTAAGCCTATGTTTCATTGTCTCTCGGAGAACCTTACTTGGAGGTCACTGAACTCTTTGTGTAATTTAGTGTTTCTCTTTAAAATGAATTTGAGAGCAAGGATATTGAGTTGGGGATGTCTCACTCATATCCTTCTAAAGAAACAAGCATTTGGGAACCTTTTATAGAAAAGAGCACAGTTGTGAGTGCACTGGAATTCAGGTCAGAGGTAGCAAACCTTAGGAGAGCCCAAGAATGAAGAGGGCTGTTTTGAATACTTATTATATGTGTAAGGACAAAAGAAAGCCACTGAACTCAGAAGGAGCATAGCCCAGACTTGCTCTAAGAGGGTGACTTCTGCATCAGACCATAGGCTGACACTGGTGACCAGGGACACCTGGGGCTGAGCTGTACACCCAGGGAAATAGGTAAGTGTCGGGGAAGGGTGTGTGTGAGAACAGCAAGCTGGTTGTGCACGCAGGGAGGATGCCTTTGTAATATGCTGTCAGAAACATCACAGAGTGTACTTTTGTTTCTTTTGCAATTACGTATTGAGTGTGTACAGTATTATGGGGACTGAAAGGAGATGAAAGAGCTGAATGGCTTTCCCTAGAATGGTGGCCTGTCTCCCCAGTAGTAACCTGCTGTTTCTGCCTTGAAGTGAAAAAGGGTGTGAAGGGCTCTTATGCCCAAATTGTCACCTTTTCTTACCTCCTCCCCCTCTGTGGTTTCCTCTGCAGCTGAGCAGGCCCCAGGCGGCCTGCCATGAGACCGTTTTCCAAGGACCGGTCGTTCTGCTGGACCCACCGGCTCCTGGTATTCATCAGCCTGCTCCTCAGTGAGTGATGGGGTCCATGGGAATGGAGGCCAATGGGGTCATCTGGGCTAGCTGTGCCATGACCACTAAGTGAGCTCTTTAGGTTCAAATGTCTTTGGGCAACAAAAAGAGAAAAACACTCTGTTGTGATTACAAATGCAGCGGATTTGGTTGGAGTCCTGAGGTGGAAGGAATGGAAAGTCCTTTTGGTGGTGAGGAGGCTGGGAAACCTGAGCCAGGGCTGTCTTGGCTGCAAGAGGGAACCTTAACCATTGCCTGGGCTTAAGGCTGAGCTCCAGCCAAATCATCACAATGAAGAGGGCCCTTGAAAATTTCAATCTTAAAATTGTGTTAGTAATTTGCATTTGTGTTCACTTCAAAAGTTAAAAAGAACGTATCTTTGGGTAAAATGCGTCTATAGCAGGCACCCTTCACATCCCTGAGTTGCTTTTTCCTCCACTCAGAAATGCTGTTCAGACCCTCAGATGAAACCATGTTTATCACACCACTGTTCTGGAAAAATCCTGGAAAGAAACAGGAGGTGCCTATCAATTCAGGAACATGTGAACAAGTGGAAGAGTATCTGTACCATGGCATAGTATGGAGGCTTACAAAAACAAATGTTCTAGATGTCCGGAAGGAATGTTCAGCTTCATGAAGTAAGGTGCATAGATTTCCATCAGCAAGATTCAGGAAACTAAACCCAATAGAATCTTCACTTTATAAAAGGAAACGCAGCCACCAAAATTTAAGTGTTTATACACCTACCTGTTTCTAAGACTATGCTAAAAATGTGGAAGAATCAGTAGATTGTCAACATGAGCTACAGGAGGGCATAAAATTGTGGAGAAAAATATGAAAGAGGAAAAAATACAGAACACAGAATGTTAAGCAAAAGAAGAAGCTGAAAAAAGGCTTATCCTAATCCAGGCTGCCTGTCAGGCTTTGATCTAGGCTGTGTTTAGGAACGCTGAGGCTCCACACACAGTGAAGTCAATTTTTTTCTCTGGCCCCTGGATTACCCCTCTTCCAGTTGATCCTTGATTCAGGGAAAGGAATGTGTGGTGAAGCAATGATAATGAAAATGGGGGAATTTGTCTTCATTGTTCTTAAACTCTTGCCCCTTCCTAAACATGTTTCAATGGGAAAATGTGGAAGGGAAATAGGGAGCCTGAGGGTGGCTCAGTTCACATCTAATTTCCCAGCGACACAGGCAGCTGCAGATGAGGGTGGTCTTTGGTTTTTGGGGTCCCCCCGAACACGACAATAACAGGATTTACCAAGTGCCCAACCCATGTTGCAAGCATGGATCTGGAGAAGAAAGGGTCTCTGCATTCGGGGCTCCAGACAGAGACACGAGACAATGGAGATGGCACCAAGAAGTGCAGTTTGCGCATCACCTATGGATTGCTGGTTTGTGAGTGTGGGAATGGGGCTATGTCAGACAAATGAGGAATATTTTATGTTGCTTAGAGAGCTTAAAATTTTACACAATTTAAATGAATGTTTAGCTCCACATTATAAACGACCACTCACTACCTGGCTTGTTTTTCTTTCTATAGATCAGAGAGCTCCTGCTGCCTTCCTTCTTGCTCTCAGTATTTTTTCTTCTTCCTTCTGTGCTCACCGTCCACCTTCTGGGGCAGATCCTCCCTGGAAGCCTGAGGGCTGAGCCTCCTCTCTCCCTCAGTCCATTATCCAGGAAGTGATGTCTGCTTGGGCTGCCTGTTTAACCCTCTGCTAGCCAGCAGTCCGAGGTCTGCTCAGCCACTGAAAGTAGCTGCTTCCTCTGCTCAGGAGAAGGCATTTGTGGTTGAGACTCTGGCAGCTGCTCAGGTCCTGGTGGGCTCAGACAATGGTGCAGGTGAGCTCTGGGGAAAGCAGGTGAGGATGGAAAAGCACATGGGCAGCGTCCTGCAGTGGGGAGAATCTAAGCTGGGAGAGGAAAGTGGGCTCCAGGTTTTCCTCTGCCCTGATTTACCCAGGACAATTCTTTCCTCTAGAGCCACCGCTCCTCTGTAAAAGCAGGGGTTAGGCAGATGATGTCTGACTCCCTCCCAGCTGTGTGGTTCTTTAAGTGACTCCTGCGGCTTTGTTAAGGTTTCTGCTCCATCTCTTCCATCCAGTCCTGTTCTACCTTGTGGCCTGACAGGCATTCACAGCTGGTAAGCCTGTTTTGGGTTCCTTCAGAGAGAAGACCACAGACTTTCTCTGTGGCCACTTCCTCAGCCAGCAAGTGAGGTAAGAACTCACCTTCATGCCTCCTTCACTTGATCCTCTGCTTTCTCGGCCTCTGCTCCTGTGAGGGGTTTGGAAGACACTGTCTTCAGGCCACCTGCTAAAGGACATTATTTTAGTATGTCCTCACATGGCTATAAAGAACTACCTCAGGCTGAGTAATATACAGAGAAAAGAGGGGACCCACATCCAACTCCTATCAGTGAGACGGCACCCTGTCCAGTTCTGCCCAGGGTCATAGAGGAGAGGTAGCAAGTGTCGAGAGACAGAGGTGCTGGCTCCCCTTTACCTTCCACCGTGACTGTGAGTTGCCTGGGACCCCCACCAAAAGCACATGTTGGCTCTGTACTTTCTGTACAGCCTGCAGAACCCAGCACATTTTTAATAGCTTTTCTTTATAAATTACCTAGCCTTAGGTATTTCTTTATAGCAATGCAAAAATGGACTGACAAACCCACTAACCGGCTGATGTGGATCCTGAAGGCCTGCGGCCCTGGTGCTAAGGGGTGCTGAGCCTTGGGTGGGCCTAGTCCCTTGAGCGAGCTGAAGGGAGGGGTGAGGCCTGGCCTAGAGGAGGGGCCCGGTGAACTGAGGTAGTGAATAACCACAAACAGAAATATTAGAAACACTCTCACACCTCAGGATTGGCATGAGCTATTCTCTGCTTCCAGTGAGAGCCAGCGTTAGGTATAAGGACAGCAGGAGGGTGCAGGCTGGAAATAAGGAGAACTTTATTCATTAGGGGGAGCTCTGGGTGTCCTGCCACGCAGCAGCACACCCAGATGGACCTGAGCTGCTGAAGAAAGGAGACGGTTCTTTCTTCAAAGGACAGGGTGTCCTGTGGCAGTTTCCCCCAGTCCAGACTGGTCCCACCCCGGTCCCCAGAAAGAGAGATATCTGAGTTCACTGAGGCTGTGCCTGTTGAACAAGGAAGGGCTCAGGAGGAGGCAGAGCTGAGGTGGCTGTGCCCACTGGTCAGGGCTCTGTGGGAGACAGTGACTGAGGTAGGCTGACCAGGGGCCCCAGGGGCACTGCGTAGGGAAGTGCTCTCCTGGTGGCAGAAACACAGTGCCAACAAACAGTCCATCTGGTTGGTGGCAAGTGTGAAAGTCCCCCACACGTTCAGTCCCTCCCAGTGAGCAGGGTCTCCGGACTAGTTCTGTCTAGAAAATATGGGCAGAGATTACATCACTTCCGGGCTATGCAGTGAAAGCCCCACGGGTGCTTCTCTTGACTCCTCTCTTCCCTACTGTGGGGGCTGAGGAGGCTGTGGGTTCTGTATGGGGCTCCTACAGGGTGTGGAGCCGCCACCCATGTGTCAATGACCTCACTGTACCTTATGGGACATGTAGTTTCATTAATATACAAACTCCCTTTATTCTAAGTCCCTCAATTTGGTGGTTTGTTGCTGCGGGATGACCTGTCTAATTCACTTCCCATCCTATCCTGTCCTATTCTATCCTAATTCATTCCCTTCCTAGAAGGTAAGGCAAAGAGAGACAATCTTCATCTTTGCTTTAGGTATGTATTGTTGTGCGAGCTGTTACTCTAGGACTTAGTGTGCTAACGCAACACGGGGTCTTGTCTCACAGTTTAGGGAGATGAGCATCCAGGTGTGGTTCAGCTGGGTCCTGTCACTCAGGTTCGCAGAGACTGGAATGAAGGTGTTGGCTGAGGCTGCCCCCAGCTCCCTGCCATGTGGGCCTCTCCACAGAGCAGCTCACAACACGGTAGCTGGCTTCATCAGCCTGAGCAGGAGAGAGTGATGGAGACAGAGGGTGTGAGCCAGACAGAAGGGACACTCCATCACTTCTGCTGCGTTTGCAAGTAATCAGTGCAGCCCATACTCCAGGGAGGGCATCACACATTTGATCCTTACTGTCATTACTCATTTGATCCTTACTGTCACTATGGGGCAGGTAAGAAAACTGAAGATCTAGATGATTGTTTTGCCAATCCCTGGGATTGAAAGGAAAAAAAAAGAAAAGTGAAGATCAGGGTGTTCAGGAACCTGTTCAAGATCACACTCCACTAGACCCAGAACTTGAGCCAAAATTGCTTCATATTTATTATACTAGGCAGCCCTCCCAGAATCAAGGGAGGATTTGGGATGCATTTCTATGACTCTGAACCTCACTGTGTTTCTCTCATTTGTCTCATTTGTCTGTGTTTCTCTCATTTGTTCTTGATGAGGAGATACTGATGGTTTTTGTTTCCGTGCCCTAGGTGTCTGCAGCACTGTAGCCAACCATTCTGGAGCACACGGCTCTGCCGTGAAGGTTTCTGGAAACCACATTCATCTGAAGTGCATCCGAGGAGGTTCTGTCTTCTTTAATGTGACCGAGAAGCGCAGGGCAGATGCAGGAGCCGAAGTGCAGGAGGTTTCATGGGCTTTGGGCACTCCGTCAAATTACACACAGGTGCTGCAAGTCCGTAGGGGAGCCGACTCTCCAATCTGGTTGAGCCTCCAGGAGAAGTTCAAGCAGAGGGTCCATGTGCCCAGCATGTGGTCTCTGAGGATTGAGAACTTGGCCCCTGAAGACAGTGGGCAGTACATGGCCATGATCCACTCAACTCGGGGAAAAACGCTTGGCCAGTTTTTCTACCTGACTGTCTATGGTGAGTGACACCTCTCTCCCTGTCTTCTGGCTTCCCTGCCTTTTTTGTCTCTCTCGAGTCACTTAGGCCCCATGCAGGGTTGCATTCAAACACTAGCCTTCAGACTCGAATTTCTCCACCAAAAATAAGGCACATGAGGTCCCCAGAATAGATAGGAGAGCTGAGATTCATACCAGAGAATGAAGCTCTTTCAGTGTTTTGGGAGAGGAAATGGAAATTCAGCTAAATAGCCATTTTTCCAGTAATATTAATCCTATGCAGGATGATTTGTACAGCAGTATTTTATTTCCAATATAACGAATTTCCAAAAATTATTGGCTAAAAGGAAGACAAATTTTTTATCTCACTGTGCTATAGGCCAGAGGTCTGACACAGTCTCTGTGAACTAAAATGAAGACAGGGCCGTGTTCTTTCCAGGGGCTCCAGGGAAGAGCCCGTTCTTTTGCCTTCTTCACCTGCTAGTGGCTGCCGGCATCCCGTGGCTTGTGGCCCTCATCCTGTATCATCTAACAGAACACTGATGCTAGTGTTCTACTAGGAGTGTCGGGGTAATCTCCCTCTTTTAGGTCAGCTGATTAGCAACCTTAATTCTATCTGTGACCTTAATTCCCCTTGCCTCGCAGCCTCACCTATTCCCGGGTTACCAGGACTGGGCCCCAGACATTTTGGAGGCCACTGTTCTGCCTACCACAGTTGGGAATCCCTGTGAATGGAGTCCTCCCAGTTCGCTCTCCTCTCACTCAGCCCCAGCCTGAGGCCAGCCTGTCACATAAGCCACCACAAATCCACATCTCTCAGGCTTTGTAGGTGTCGGGGAAAGTTTACACCGCAGTACATCTGAGGAAACTTGTTTACCAGCTCGTTCTTTCCCTAAAGTTCATCTCTGCACAGGGAAATGTCTTGCCATGGAGGGATTGGCTTTTGCAGCTTTAGGTCCCATGTGATTTCTCAGGCTGGCCTGTGAGTCCGACCCTTCTGTCTGCACCACAGGTTCAATGGCACTCTGTAAGCACACTCAGAGTCATTGACCACAGGTTCAGTGCACTCTCTAAGCACATTCAGAGTAGTTCCCAGGCCCTATCACTGCATCTCTCACAGACGTGTCTACTTTTCTGATCAGGGGCCTTTCTGTGTCCTTCCAGAGCTGGCCTAGTGTCCTGCCCCTTAAAGGCTGTGCAGTCCCAGGCATGGCCTCAGCTGGAGATGCGGGAGAACACTGGGCCAGCACAATCTCATCTTCCTGAGACTTCTTCCTCTTCCTGAAAAGACCTCAGTTTTCTGAAAATACTGTGCTTTGGGGAGGGGGACTTTCTTCTTTGTTTTCTTTAGGACAGTTTTAAGACCTGTTGAATCTAGAGAACCAACATGGAGCTGAACTCCGTGGCTTCCCTTCTTGTTTCATTTGCTCTGTATTTAGCTTTGGGCAAATAGTGTTTTATCTGTAGACTACACACACCTGCATGCCGTGGCTGCAATGAGAAAATAATGAGGAAGTGAGATGTGCAATATTCTCCACGCATGTGAGATTCCTCTCTTTTGTCTCCTCCTGCCCCAGATCCTGTGCCTCACCCTGAGATCCTGGCCAAGTCACTGTCTATCACACCAGGCCTGTGTAACATCTCTCTGGAGTGTAGGGCTCCAGGGGCCACCCAGGACCTGAATGTGACTTGGGAGAGCAAGGACCTCTTCAGAGAGCTGGAACAGACAGACACACCAGGACCAACCGCCAAGCTTTGGACCCTGGCTGTGAGCCTGCCCCTGAGCCAGCAGATCGCCAGTCTCACCTGTGTGGTCAGCAACCAGGTGGATCAGAAAACTGCAACCTTAGACCTTGGGAAAGTCTGTGCCCAAGGTGAGTGGTGAGTGTAGCCTGCAAGATAGGAGGGGCTGCCCGAGCTCAGGGAGCACCGGGGTCTAACAGTTCTGGGATCTCTTCCCCACCATGAGCATTAGCACCACCTTCTACCTGCTCACCCCACACAGCACTGTGGGAGTCACCTCCACCTTACTTTGCCTGTAATCATCCCTCCCATCTATACCCTCCTCGCCACACCCCATGCTTCCCACAGCAGCCTTCCAGGAGCTCTCCCACCCCATCCATATTCCACTGAACATCCAGTGTAGGCTTTGGGAAAAGAGGGTCAGGTAAGGTGGTTTCTGTGTCATCTGTGGGATCTGGCCTCCAGTTACTCCCCCATGGAATTCAGGGCTCAGATGCTCCTCTGCCCGCATTTCTGGCCTCACATATGCACTTCACATCAAACTGCTTGCTTATATTTCCTAAAGTATATCCTGCTTCTTGTAAGCTTCTCAGCTTCTGAACATGATATTTTACTCCATCAGCCTTCCCACACCTTGTGGCCAAGACTTCCCTTTTTATTTTTTCCTAGCATTTCTTTCGGCCATGGCCATTTTATAGGCATGAGACAGGTGTATCCACACAGGGTCCCTCATGTAGCAGCATTCTATAGTTGGTTAAAATACTGCCATTGCTGCCTGGATGTTTTTAATCAAGGGAACTTCAATTTGCATCACACAGATCCCTGAAAATAATGTATCTGTTTCTGCAGTCCGGCCCACATCCTGAGGGAGCTGTCCATGGCCCCCAACACTGAGCAGTAATGATGTGATTATGTCATTGTCTGCCCTGTAGACTGCAACACCTTGATGTTTTCCTTTGAATCCCTGTGCCAAGCACAGCTCCTGGTAACACTTGCTCACAGTCTGTGTTCACTGAATGAATGAATGACCTGATACCCTGTGTACAGCCTGGTCCTCTATAACTCTTCCTCCAGGTGCTGCTGGGATATCTGATGTGTCAACATCTCTTTAAATCACCCTGACTCCCATCCAGAAATGTTAAGCACTTAGTGTGACCACAGGGCCCTCTGGGCACAGACTCCTTCCTCCTTCTGACTCTCCTTGTCACAGTTCCTCCCTGCCCTGTCCCTCTAATGCTGCAGTGGGGTGCCGGCAACTCCCAGAGCTGGTGTCTTGACAGCCATTTCCTGACCTTGGTGCTCCTATTTCCTGGAATGCCCATCCCTAATATCTGAAAATCTCATAGTCCCCCTTCAAGCCTCAGTTTAGCCAGCATCTCCTCTGGAGGCCTACCCTGAAGACCTTGTACAAGGCGGAAACCTCTGTTGCAGCTCTGATCCCTCTGTCTGGCAGTTGGTATTTTCTGTCTTCCCTCATGTGTGCTGGGCTGCTACGGACATCGTCTTGTGCATCTCCGCATCCCTGGCACCAAGCAGCAGCTCCTAACCACTCCAAGAGTGAATGGACCTGCCATGCTCCTCCCTCTGCAGCTTCTGTACCAGGCTCCTTCCCACTTGTCCACCTGCTCTCCCCGCTTGTCTTTCCTTTAGCAATTGGTGTCTCAAATTATCTCCTGTCTTAACATTTTCCACTCTCCCCATGTGACTGGAACAGGTTCACACAATCAGGATGTGATTAGACTGCTGCCAGGCATCCTAGGGGCTGCTGTGGGTGTGCTGTTGGTCCTGGGAACTGGGCTTTATGTTTTGAAGACATGTCGGAAGAAGAAGAAGATGATGATAGAAGTAAAAAGGGGTAAGTTGCATTTCTCCTGACATGCCCAGACACCTCCCTTCCCTCACTAGAACCTCAGCTTCCTTTTTCTGAATTTTGCTCCCAGGTAGTGGACTTTGCAGAGGGAATGATGGGCGTGGTCTTAGCCTTGGGGTCCACGGTAATGGGAAGGGCTACGTGTTTCTAAGACACAGATTCGAGCTTTGATTTTGTCAGGTGGAAGATTGCAGAAGAACCATGGGGTTGATGATGGTGGCATCCCCTTTGAGACGCTCAGCCAGCAAGTGTCTCAGAAGGGCAAGGACAAGGTGAGTGCCGGGGCACTGGCCACCCTGGGAACTCCCAGGTCTCTCTGCCCAGCCTGGGGCTTCCAATTCCAGGACCTGTCATTTCTGGTCCAACTGCCTATTTATCTATATCTGGACAATCAACAGTATTGACTAAGAAAATTTACATCTGGGTGTGATGTGGTGCTGGGCACTTTAGAGGAATTCACAAGCAGTGCATGGCAGTGGGTGCTGGCTCTGTGGGTCCCTGCAGATTCATTCTATCCTTCAGCTGACCCAGCCACCCTCTGTGTTGTATTTCAGAGCATCGGTGAACAATATCTGGGAAAAAAGGAATCTCTCACTACTACCTACAGTGAGGTCTGTTATCCAGACCAGACCATGGAGATCATTTGATTGGAGGAAGCAGGAGGATCTGGCACTCCCAGGACACCTTCACTCTGAGCCTAAGTCCTGCAGACCCCTGCCTTTCCCAGCTCTGGTTCAGTTCCAGCTTCGCCTTGTGTGTGTTGAATTGCCAGAGGCTGCAGTAAATGTATTCCCTTGGAGAGGCATCACTGCCAACATTCCTGAAAGGCTATGTCACTACCAGTGGGGCCATAACAACAATACTTGAAATCCAGCCTGGACTTCCTTTGACCAAACTAACCAATCTATCTTTGCCAAAATCAGATGAAATGTCAACTCCAACCTTGCCTTGCATCAAAAGCCTTGGTATCCTGCCCAATATGCCCGGAACGGCATATACTGGGAGACTACTGTGCTGGTAGCTGGTCTCCATATAGCTCCCTTTTGTTTGGAGGCTTTAAACGGCTCCTCTAATGCCACTCTGGGGTTTCTCCCATCAGGCAATTGTCAACACATACTCCAAATCAATAACACTACCCCCAATGAAACGCAATCTCTTTCCTACTTTAATAACACCTTATACACTATAATTATAGTAAAATTATTGCTGTCCCCTTGGGGCCCTCTGGGTATGCAGACCCTATGGGTGGTGATACCTGCCCCCACATTGGACAGGGACATGCACTTAGGGTGGCCATTAATTTTATTCACAGTCTGGGATAACATTCCCCTCCCCAGTAATCTAGATGCTTGCAAACCTCACTGGCTATGAATGTGCCAGACTCTCTTGTGGTGGGACCCTATCATAGTATTCTTTCCCTGCCACTGGTACAATCTTGTTTCAGCAACAAATTAAAATATTAAGCTTATATGTCATAAAAGCTCTTAATGATAGTAGCACTAAACTTGTGTTGTCATTGGATGAATTTGCTTAGCTGCATACTGTTGCATTGCAAAATTGAATGGAATTACATATGCTTACCGCAGCCCAAGAAGGGGTTTTCACCTTACTGTATACTGAATATTGCGTGTATATCTCTGACAATTCTCACAATATTACTCTCCTTGCCCAAGACATTCAAAAACAAGTAAAACAGTCAGAATCTAACCATCAGCACCCCATCACGGACTGACTGTCCAACTGGCATTGGCATTGGCTATGGTAGGTGTGGATTTTATTAATTATGCTTTTAATTTTCCTATGCTTATCTTGTATGTGTAACCTATATCAACTATGTCTTCCCTGTATATCTGTAAGGTATTTTCCTTATAATTGGGTATCAAATTGAGGCCAAATGTGGAGGAAAAGTTAAATATTAAATTTAAACTCAATTGAACATGGACACAAACAAAATAACTTCTAATCTTATGGCCTTAGGCGGTCTAGTCTACAAACATGAAGGAAGTTTGTTTTGGAAAAAAAATATTAAAGAGTAATTTATAGAAAAAAGAATTGTATATGGCAAATTCTTATCCTAAAACTAATTAACTGATTTTAAAAAAAAGAATGTTTACAAGTCAGATAGTTGAAATATGTCAAAAATTGTCCGTAAAAGTCATAACATTTTGTAAAAGAAAATTTATGCAAGAAATGTTGTACAATTTAATTGTAAAATAAATTCTGTGTATAAACATATTGGCTAAAGTTGAAGGGGTATCGTCCAGTTTTTCTGTAAAATAAGCATTAAAATAAAAGCACAATGGATTTCTCTTAAAGCACTAACCTGCTCTTTAACAAAAATTATGAAGGTTTAAAAAGGGTCTGTAAAAATCTTACCTTACGGTCAAACATTAAAATTGAGTAAATGTGACTACAAGGTTTTATTAAAAATTAGGTTTAACATTAATAGCACACTAATACAAAGGTAAAATTTGGCTTATTTGGTATAAAATCAAGTAGGAAGCTTTGTCAAATATAAAATGTTTGGCTTTCTTTGAGCTATATTTGCATAAATATGTTATTGTTATGTGTTCCAAAGTTATGGAAAAATCCTATAATTCGACTATATCTTAGTGTACATTAGTAATAATTATTATGTTAAAATTATTGTGTGCCACAGAAGTAACAAATACGCTTGTCAATTGTGTCTGTAACTCTGGCTACCCTAAAACATTTTGTCATCTAGAAACCATTGTCTTGTTTTGGTCCTCCTTAAAAGGTGGTTTTATAATCAGCTATAAGGCTCTAACAGGTGCTGTTCAATGCAGCTTTCTAATAATTTTAAAGATTGTAACATCAAAATAAAGGAAAAACATTCAGAACTCTTAAAAAGCTAAATGTTAATTTATTTCAAGAGGGACAGAAGTTAACTGCATAAAATAAACTAATAGGACACTGGAGTAATCTTTTTAACGTTTTATTTAAAATATTGCTAATCTTTTGTTGTGCTTTTCAAAGTCAAAGAAACTTTTCTTTTAAGCTGTTGACAGTTTTTAACAATTTAGTAGACTCCCATAAACAAAATTTAAAGCATACTTGTTTCTCTCTAATTTTCTTCAAAATTTAAAAACTATCTGTAAGTATTGCTAAGTTATGGCAATATAGTTACCTGCATAAATGCAGTAAAAATCTGTTTTCTTTTGTAACAGAACACAATTGTTAAAAACTGGTTATTTTTTTACCAAGGCTTTACTTCAAATAGTATTTTTTCCTTTAAAAAAATCAAACAACTTATAAAACCAATAAAGCCCTTGGAAAACTGGCCTCATATTTTGTGCACACAGTTCCTGTGCAGGGTTTCTAATCTGTGGTAAGTAAAGAAGGTTACTTTCCTACAGGCCAAGAACCCCAAGGTACCTTAAAATCTAAAATAATAATAATAATAATAATAATAATTCACCCAACTCATAGGTATTTAATGGTATAAACCCATGGATGGGCTTGGCTTTAGAAAACTCTTATCTCAAATTCTTTCTATGAAACAAAGTTCCATCAAAGCCAATTTCAAAGGCCTATGTAAAAAACAATTATTCTAGCTGCACTGTATATAAATAATTAAGCCACATATAATAAAGCAAATCAGTCCTACAATGATTTGTCTTTTAATAAAAATGGAAAACTGGAAAGAAAAAAATATGTTTCAAAAACTATAGCACACCTGTTGTTAAATTCTAGTATTGCCTAATGTTTTTCAGTTTTTATTATTTTCTCCTGTTTATATTAAAATCTAATTTTTCTGGCTACAAATTTCCAAAATAAACTGTGCTTTCTTAAATCCCTATAAACTAAAAGCTAAATGTATCAGCAGGTGCTACCTCCAAGCCCCCCAGCCATTACAGGAAGAAATCTATTCACTGCTGGCACTGACAACTAATAACTGAGGGTGCCCAGAATCATTCACCCCACATCTAGTGTGTCTACAAAACCCAGGATAATTAAAACGGTATTTGTTACAGGAATCAACTCATAAATACATCACATTCAGGTCAAAGCCTGGAAAGCTGAGAAAGCAACCCCTAGCAGCCCAAACAAATATCCTAAATATCAATGTAAAAAAGTAGGAAATCTTAAGCTAAAAATCATAAAAAAATACGTAACTAAGTAAAAACTACATAACTTACTCAGTCTCACCCCTACCTCACCAAATACTTTTTGTCAATCCTACCTCTCCTTTTAAGCCAAATAGTAAAACTGTTTAATGGGAATTATTTACTATACCACCCTTGTGGAAATTACTATACTCATTCTACTATTTGCAGTAAAACGATATACTGTGACATCCTCAGGGTGAAATATCAAATAAAAAATCTCAATTACTGTGGCAGTTTGCTTAAGTATTATCCTTATAGCAGGAATAATGATTACTAACAAAAAAATAATGCATGCGTCTTTCCAAACATGTACCTCTGCCTCTCATTATCTAAAAAAAATTGTTTTTATTTCAACCACTCGGGCCTAGTAAAAATTGCTTCTAAAAAACTTTTAAAAAAGGCTACATGTGCCTGTAGTCCCAGCTACTTGGGAGGCTGAGGCAGGAGAATTGCTTGAACCCGAGAGGTGGAGGTTGCAGTGAGCCAAGATGGCACCTGTTTGAAGGAAAAAAAAAAAACACTCCTACTCCTAACTAAAATTGGCCAGAAGCCCCTCTCAGGTTTTATTTAAAGCAAACCTGTCTTTAACTGTCAGGCCACATTTCCTGTTTGTTTCCTCTTTCTTTAACTTTTACAAAAGGCTGTTTACTTGTAAAGGTATTGAATGTGTGTCTTTTCTTTTCCCCTTGCACATTTCCCACATAGAACACATGCCTGATGGAAAAAACAATGCATGACCCCGCTGGGATTCCTATTTTAACAAAGAGTTCGAGAGTCTTATTTTATTCAAACTAAAATAACATGAGTGAATTTGTAATTGCAAACATACGTAAATAGCGTATCTAACATGGTACTCTCGCTTAAGGTTTGGGGACTAGGTGAGGCTCTCTGTGATAGGATGCTTAAGCTGACCTCTAGAAGTGTGAGTAAAATTAATAAAAGAAAGAGGGTAAAGAGCTTTCTAAGAATAGGAAGCATGAGCAAAGGCCCTGTGGTGGAAAGAAATGCATGTTTTGGAAACTGAAAAGCTGCCATTATGACTGCAATGAGGCAGTTTGGCAGAGGACAGGAAGAAGTGCAACTGTGCTGGTAAGCAGGGCAACCTTGAAGAGAACAGCAGTGCGTGGTAAAGATGCGACCTGGAGTCACTGAGAAATGAGGACCTGGTAATGTGTGCTTTCTGAAAAGATCACCCTGAGGCTGGGTGCAGTGCCTCACACCAGTAATCCCATCACTTTAGGAGGCCGAGGCAGGAGAGTCACTTCAGCCCAGGAATTTGAGACTAGCCTGAGCAATGTGATAGGATCTTGTCCCATAAAAAAATTTAAAAAAAAAAAAAAAAAAAGCTGGGCATGTTGGCACTCACCTGTACTCCCAGCTACTAGGGAGGCTGAGGTGTGAGTATCCTTGAGTCCATGAGATTGAGGTTGTGGTGAGGTATGGTTATGCCACTGTGCACCAGCCAGGGGGCTGGAGCAACCCTATCTCAAAAAAATAAAACTAAAAATAAATAAAGAAAGAAAAAGAGCACTCTGGCTTCAGTGTAGAGAATGCTGTACAGGAGTTCCAGGAATATGTGGGAAACCCAAATTAGTTGGTTATTGCTACTCATGAAAACGTAGGAGAGACATCGTGTTGAACTGAAGTAGTTGCAGTAGAGATGGAAGCGGATGTATTTAAGAGATTTTAAAATGGAGAAATCTTGCTGATGGCTTAGTGATGGGTTTGAAGGAGAAGAAAGTGTCAAAGATGACAGTGTGGAGGTAGAATCCTCCATGGAGGTGGAGGATACTCAAGGAACACCAGGCCTAGGTGTATTATCTTGGGTACATTCAGCATGAGATGCTTTTCAGATATCAAAAAGGAGTTGTTAAGCAGAACACTAGGCTTAAGAATTTAGAGCTCAAAGGTGTCTAGACCTAGAGCTTAAAATAAATCCGGACTGGAGATATGTTTGAAAATTATTGGAATATGGATGAACAATTCAATAAATAGTGTCAGGTTAAGGAACTAAACATTTAGGGAAAAATTTATAACCCTATATCAGTTAGAACTTATGCTAACATATATTTCTAATCTATAGTTGAGCATCCGAATCCCTTAGAGAGGAATTTCCAAACACCCCTGCTCAGGCTTCATCTCAATCGCTCCAGTAAGAATTTCTGGGCCAAGTATGGTGGCTCACTTCTGTAATCCCAGTACTTCTGCAGGCCAAGATGGGAAAATCGCTTAAGTCTAGGAGTTCAAGATCAGCCTGAGCAAGATAACAATACCCTGATTCTATAAAAATATCTTGAAAATTAGCTGAGCATGGTGGCACATACCCATAGTCCTAGCTACTAGGGAGGCTGAGGTGGGAGGATCTCTTGAGGAGCTCATAAGTTCAAGGCTGCAATGAGCCAAGATCATGCCACTGCACTCCAGTCTTGGTGATAGAGCAAGACAAAAAAAAAAAAAAAAAAAAAAAAAAAAAAAAAAAAAAAAAAAAAAAAAAAAAAAAAAAAAAAAAAAAAAAAAAAAAAGAAAGAAAGAAAGAAAAGAAGAAAAAAAGAATTTCTGGAAATGGAGAACATCAATGATTAGAAACTATTAGAATAAATATTTATATAGAAAAGAATAAATATGGTTAAAATAATAATTTAATGTTTATATAATTATGAGTGGCAAATAGTTTTTTAAGCTCATCTTCAAAGCCAGAAATAATAAAATAATGATAATAAAGGTCATATCTATTGATGGTTCAATAGATATGACCACAGAAAAATTACAACTTCTTACTGGCAAAGACTGCTATGAAAACAGTTAAAAGGAAAAAGAAAATATGTAAAAGTTTGGCACATCAATGGTAGCAGCTTAGAGGTAAAGGTGTGCACTCCAATTCCCCCTCTCTTTCTCAAAGCAGAGGCTATTGGTTTGAATTGCAACATATACTTTCTAGCTGCTGCAGTTTACTTGTGGTT